GCTGAAATCCAGACTCTTCAGACCAGGCAACGTTTTCCTGTCTTCTGTTCAGTTTTGATGTGCCTGTGTGAATTGTAGCCTCCGTTTCCTGTTCTTAGCTGACAGGAGTGGCATCCACTATGGTTTTCTGCTGCTGTAGCCCATCTGCTTCAAGGTTCGACATGTTGTGCATTCAGAGATGGTATGCACAACATGCATACCTTGGTTATAATGAGTGGTTATTTGAGTTACTGTTACCTTTCGATCATCTGGAACCAGTCTGCCCATTCTCCTCTGACCTCAGCAAGGCATTTTTGCCCACACAACTCCCACTCACTGGATATTTTCTCTTTTTCTGACCATTCTCTGTAAACCCTAGAGATGGTTGTGTGTGAAAACCCCAGTAGATCAGCAGTTTTTGAAATACTCAGACCAGCCCGCCTGGCACCAGCAACCATTCCACATTCAAAGTCAATGAAATCCCCTTTCTTCCCCATTCTGATGCTCGGTTTGAATTTTAGCAAGTCATCTTCACCACGTCTAGATGCCTAAATGCATTGAGTTGCTGTCATGTGATTGGCTGATTAGCAATTTGTGTTACCAAGAAATTGAACAGGTGTACCTAATAAAGTGGCCGGTGAGTGTATGTACGTAGATGTGGCTGCTGTTTTGTGCTCATTTGGCGCCCCCATCACTGTGACCGGCGGGTGTAACCACACGTTGCTGGTTACTGTCTGCAATCAGGGGCCAGAGGGATGGGTTCCTAGTCTTGAGATCACTGTGATTGGCTGTGACAGCCAATTATTTATTTTATTTTTTATAGGTACTTATATAGCGCCATCAATTTACGCAGCACTTTACATATATATTGTACATTCACATCAGTCCCCGCCCCCGAGGAGCGTACAATCTAAGGTCCCTAACTCACATTCATACATACACATACTAGGGGCAATTTAGAAAGGAGCCAATTCACCTACCAGCATGTCTTTGGAGCGTGGGAGGAAACCAGAGTACCCCACGCAGACACAGGGAGAACATGCAAACTCCGGGCAGGTCAATTACAATGACCACAAAATTGGTAAACCTAGGTAACCAATGAAACAATTTTTCTACAAAAAAAGTTTTCCCCTTAGTTAGACTTAATAAGTTAACTTAACCACTTCCCTCCCAGACAATAGCTGAATGGCAGCCGGGAAAACGCTCTAGATTTCCGGGTGGACGCCATTTGGCGTCCTCCCGCACATGTGCAGTTTTCGCGCTTGCAGAGGCGTGCAGCGGCGCGATCTGTCACCGGCCGTGTACCTCGGACACGGCCAATGACAGATCTGAGTACCGGCCAAGTTGCGGTACCATGTGACCTGCTGTGACCAATCACAGCAGGTCACATGACAGTTGTATACAATGGATGGCTTCATTCATGCCATCCAATGTATACTAGCGTCTAGCTGTGAATGGTCACAGCGATCACATGCACATGTCATGTGATTAGCTGTGGCCAAATCACAGCTAAGCACAAAAAAAAAAAATGCTTGCTTATAGCAAAGTAATTCTTTGCTATAAGCAAACTGTGTAAAAAAAAAAAAAAAAAAATTACTGATCACTTCCCCAAAGTAGTACAATGTTACTATGGTAATGTTGCACTACTTTGGTCATAGTGAAATATGAAAAGAAAACTTAAAAAAAAGAAAAAAAATGTAATAGAAAATTAAAAAAAAAAAATATATATATATATTTTTTTGTCATACTGTCACCAATCAGTGTCCCTGATCACCGCCATGCCATTTAAATGATGACGCTGTACTGCACTGGTGACAGCATGTAAAAAAAAATAGTGAAAATTATTTTTTGCATTTTTTCATTTTCCGAAAAATTATGACAAAAAAAATACAACTTCAAAAAACTCACCATGCCTCTTATGAAGGACGTCGGACTGTCTACTCTGCAAAAAGGGGTCATTTGGGGGATATCTGTACCGTCCTGACACTTGGGGGATATCTGTACTGTTCTGACATTTGAGGGATAGCTGTCCTGTCCTGACATTTGGGGGATATCTGTACTGTCCTGACATTTGGGGGATATCTGTACTGTCCTGACATTTGGGGGATATCTGTACTGTTCTGACATTTGGGGGATATCTGTACTGTCCTGACATTTGGGGGATATCTGTACCGTCCTGACATTTGGAGGATATCTGTACCGTCCTGACATTTGGGGGATATCTGTACCGTCCTGACATTTGGGGGATATCTGTACCGTCCTGACATTTGGGGGATATCTGTACCGTTCTGACATTTGGGGGATATCTGTACTGTCCTGACATTTGGGGGATATCTGTACTGTCCTGACATTTGGGGGATATCTGTACTGTTCTGACATTTGGGGGATATCTGTACCGTCCTGACATTTGGAGGATATCTGTACCGTCCTGACATTTGGGGGATATCTGTACCGTCCTGACATTTGGGGGATATCTGTACCGTCCTGACATTTGGGGGATATCTGTACCGTTCTGACATTTGGGGGATATCTGTACCGTCCTGACATTTGGGGGATATCTGTACTGTCCTGACATTTGGGGGATATCTGTACTGTCCTGACATTTGGGGGATATCTGTCCTGTCCTGACATTTGGGGATATCTGTCCTGTCCTGACATTTGGGGGATATCTGTCCTGTCATTTGGGGGGATATCTGTACTGTCCTGACATTTGGGGGATATCTGTCCTGACATTTGGGGGATATCTGTACTGTTCTGACATTTGGGAGATATCTGTACTGTCCTGATATTTGGGGGGATATCTGCACTGTCCTGATATTTGGGGGGATATCTGTACTGTTCTGACATTTGGGGGGATGTCTGTACTGTCCTGACATTTGGGGGATATCTGTACTGTCCTGACATTTGGGGGATATCTGTACTGTTCTGACATTTGGGGGGATATCTGTACTGTTCTGACATTTGGGGGGGATATCTGTACTGTCCTGACATTTGGGGGATATCTGTACTGTCCTGACATTCGGAGGATATCTGTACTGTTCTGACATTTGGGGGATATCTGTACTGTCCTGACATTTGGGGGATATCTGTACTGTTCTGACATTTGGGGGATATCTGTACTGTTCTGACATTCTTGGACCTCAAGAAATTAGATTGGCTGTCAGAACGTCAGGATTGATCAATATTCAGATCTATCCCATAGTTTGTGAACTCTATAACTTTCCTAAACTAAATAATACATCCTAATTTGGGTTATTTTCACCAAAGACGTAGCAGAATACATCTCGGCCTAAATTTATGAAGAACAATTATTTATTTGCAAACTTTTATAACAGAAACAAAGAAAAACTTTTTTTTTTTTTAAATTTGCGGTCTTTTTTTGTTAATTTAGCAAAAAATAAAAATCCCGGCGGTGATTAAATACCACCAAAAGAAATCTCTAGCTGTGTGAAGAAAATGATAAAATTTTAGTTTGGGTACAATGTTGTATGATCAACCACTTCCTGTCCGACCCATGTACATAAATGGTCGAACGGGAGCAGTGCCGAAGTGGGTGGCTGTTTATAAATGGCACCTGCATGTACTGCCTTTGCGCGCTCCCTGGAGTGCTCAGCACCGCGATCCAGTGCCCACTGTGTCCGATCGCTGTATGGGACCTCTGTGCGAGGTCCCGATTCATGTGAGCGCTGATTGGCCAATCAGCGATCACATGAATAGTAGTAAGCAAGATGTCACTTGAATGATCACAGAGGTCACATGGTACAGGGCTATCCACAACAGCCTTGTACCATGAGACAAGCTGCGACCAATCACAGCTCTCACAGTATTTCTCAATGGTTGCACGAATGCAGCCAGAGAGAAGGAGAAATGATTGCTTTTACAGCCTTTATGGGTGTAAAAGCAATCAGTGTAAAAAAAAAAAAATCTTCATCACCCCCCACAAGTAGTACAGTGTCACTATGGTGACACTGTACTGCTAGGGTGATGTTATGTTAAAAAAAAAAAACAAAAAAAAAAAAAAAAAAACAGATAATATCAAAAATTTAAATAAAAATTTAAAAAAAGATTTTTTGAAAAATTATAATTTTTGGTTATAAACTAATTTGGGTTTTTTTTTTTTTACTAAAAATATAACGGAATAAATTTTGGCCAAGATTTATGAAGAAAGATTTTCTCTTTGCTAAATATTATAATAAAAACACTTTTTTTTCCAAAATGTTTGGACTTTTTCATTTATATAGCAAAAAAATTTAAATCCCACCGAAATAAAGTTTTATCTGTCTCAAAAAAAAAAAAAAAAAAAATGTCATATGGGTACAGCATTGCATGACCGCGCAATTGTCATTCAAAGTGTGATAGCGCTGAAAGCTGAAAATTGGCCTGGACAGGAAGGGGGTGAAAGTGTCCGGACCGGAAGGGGGTGAAAGTGTCCGGACCGGAAGGGGGTGAAAGTGTCCGGACCGGAAGGGGGTGGGAAGTGTCCGGACCGGAAGGGGGGGGGAAGTGTCCGGACCCGGAAGGGGGGGGGGGAAGTGTCCGGACTGGAAGGGGGTGAAAGTGTCCGGACTGGAAGGGGGGGAAAGTGTCCGGACTGGAAGGGGGGGAAAGTGTCCGGACTGGAAGGGGGGGGAAAGTGTGTCCGGACTGGAAGGAGGGGGGAAAGTGTCCGGACTGGAAGGGGGGGGGAAAGTGTCCGGACTGGAAGGGGGGGGGGAAAGTGTCCGGACTGGAAGGGGGGGAAAGTGTCCGGACTGGAAGGGGGTGAAAGTGTCCGGACTGGAAGGGAGGGAAAGTGTCCGGACTGGAAGGGGGTGAAAGTGTCCGGACTGGAAGGGGGGGAAAGTGTCCGGACTGTAAGGGGGTGAAAGTGTCCGGACTGTAAGGGGGTGAAAGTGTCCGGGACTGTAAGGGGGAGAAAGTGTCCGGACTGTAAGGGGGTGAAAGTGTCCGGACTGTAAGGGGGTGAAAGTGTCCGGACTGGAAGGGGGGGAAAGTGTCCAGACTAGGGGCGGACTGACAACTCATGGGGCCCCCGGGCAATAGGGGATCATGGGGCCCCTGTGTCCTTGCCCAAACTCAAAAAAAGCCTATGAAAAAGGTACCAGGGGGCATCTCATGGGGCCCCCTACTGACCCCGGGCCCTCGGGCAGTGCCCGAGTTTCCAAATGGTCAGTCCGCCCCTGGTCCAGACTGGAAGGGGGTGAAAGTGTCGGACTGGAAGGTGGTGAAAGTGTCCAGACTGGAAGGGGGGGAAAGTGTCCGGACTGGAAGGGGGTGAAAGTGTCCGGACTGGAAGTTGTTAATTAAAGTGCTCCACTCATCCCGTGGCCACAGCCGGTGATTTTCTGGGAGAAGTGGTGCATTATCTGACATGCAGGGGTGCCAATGTTTTTGGCCGTGACTGTATAAATAGACATACAAATATTTAAATAAAACCTAGAAAACATAAATACAAAACAATAAATCATCATCTTTATAATAATCTGTATATAAAATAGGTATATTACGTTTTACAATATTCATTACTATTTTTCTTGAATAAGCTGTGATTAGTGATGAGCCCAACTGCCCTGGGTATGGTTCAAGTGCAGTTCGGGCAAACGTCAAAGATGTTTGGATGTTGAACTTGGACGTGATTGAAATTTGATTTGAATCGGTCAAATCAAAAATATCAATTTTTTTTAACTAATGGGAAAAGAGTTGTTAAAAAATGGCACGAAGAACATGTACCAATGCAAAAAAAAAAAAATAGCAATTTGGTTGGGAACAGTGATTTATTAAATTACTGGCATTTACAAAGGAAAATGTTTTTTGAATTTTCTATTAAATTAAAAAAAAAAAAAACACAGGCCCCTCTAAAGGCTCCCCAAAATATTTAGGGGACATTTGGAGGGGTCTGTATGTGTACTATTTTTTTTAACTAATTGTCAAAGAGTTGTTAAAAAAATGGCATGAGGAACATGTGCCAATGCAAAAAAAAAAATTAAAAAAAAAATCCAATTTGGTTGGAAACAGTGATTTATTAAAGTACTGGCATTTACAAAGGAAAATGTTTTTTGAATTTTCTATTAAATTAAAAAAAAAACACAGGCCCCTCTAAAGGCTCCACAAAATATTTAGGGGACCTTTGGAGCGTCTGTGTGTGTATTATTTTTTTTAATTAATTGTCAAAGATTTGTTAAAAAAATGGCACGAGGAACATGTGCCAATGCAAAAAAAAAATAAAAAATTCCAATTTGGTTGGGAACAGTGATTTTAATAAAGTACCAGCATTTACAAAAGAAAATGTTTTTTGAATTTTCTATTAAATTAAAAAAAACAAAAAAACACAGGCCCCTCTAAAGGCTCCCCAAAATATTTAGGGGACATTTGGAGGGGTCTGTGTGTGTATTATTTTTTTTTAAGAAGCCAGCAATTAAATTCTCAGCAATTTAAATATATACTTTTTTTTCTTTCAAAAGAATTTTAAGAGAATCCTCACTAAAATAAATAAATAAAATAAAATTTAAAAAAAAAATCGAACGTGAGAATCTAACATGGCAAGGCATGAGAGGATTTCAGCGGGACAACACTGGATCCTCTGGATGGGTGACTACTAATGTGTGAAATGTGCAGATACCACCTCCGGGTAAGTGGGGGTAAAATAAAAAAAAAAAAAAATGGGGGGACTGGGTGGAGATTCGGTTTAGCTTCAATTTCTTGTAATTATTCTTCAACACGTCCTGAAAATGATCATCAGCACTAGAACTAGAGCTGGCACTGGATTTTTATTGACGGTATCACACTCATCAGGACTAGCAATTCTATAGGACATCCCTTCAGTTTCTTCTGCTAATATTTGTACATAAATAAAGCCATCGGATACTGAAATGTAAACAAATGTGTACAGCGCACATCCACCCATTCATTATTGTCACAGGCCATGCAATCTGTTTTGGCAGAATCAAAATGTTTAGGTAATGTGATGCTATGAATGAAATTATTAAAGTGGACCTTCAGGCTTCATTCACACTTGAACGTAGCGACTGTGACCTTTTTTGCGTGTTTTGTCACCAAAGTTTTGCATGTTTTTAGTGCGTTTTCATACAGCTTTTTTCAGGCACTTTTGAGCTTTGGCATTTTTTTTTTATTAGAGACAAATATCTGTTGCATCATCTGTTGCTTTTTAGATTTTCCATCAGCTTGTATTTCATTTTTTTAAATATTATTATTCATTTATTATTAATTTTTTTTTTTGTAGGGTAAGGGATTAGAGTTAAGGTTAGGGTTAGGGGTTAGGTGTTAGGGTTAAGATTAGGGCTGGGGTTAATATTTTATTTGTTGTCTTCTTATTATGTATTTAATATGTATTTTTATTTATTTTTTGTTATTATTAATAACATAAAAAAAGTTATAATAATATAAATAAATGTAAAATAAGTGTACAAATAAATAAAAATAATCATAAATAAATGTAAATTAAATTATGAATAATATGTAATAATCAATAAATAAATGATAAATAAATAACAATTCACCCTATCCTTAACCCCATAACCCCTAACAAAATTATTATTATTATTAATAATAATAATAAAAATAATAATGAGTAAACACAAAATAAATAAAATAATAATGCATTATTATTATTATTATTATTTTGTTAGGGTGTTTATTATTATTTCATTATTATTAATTTTATTACTATTATTATTAATTATTTACACCATTTTGTGGAAGCTAAATCTCACCCATTAATTGTCAACCATCTTTGTTTAACCTGATACTTGGAGGGTAATCATGAACTATATTCTGGTGATTTGCTTGACTAGAATAATAAGCTTACTGTTGTATTTCTTGGTGAAACTTCATTTTTTTTCCTCACGATAACATAACTACCCAAGTTTAAAGATTTTATTTTAGTGTTAATATCATAATTTTTTTTTTTTTTTGCTCTCAGGCCATATTGGCATACAGTTTTGTGTAGTTGGACGCTTATCCCTTCTGCAGGGGAATAACCGTTGAAATTCCGTAAAACACAGACTATTGTCTGTTATCTGAAAGTTATTATTGGTTATTTTGTCTATGGGGAGAAATTAATTATTGAATTTACACATTATATATATATTCATGCTATTGCAATGGACAAGTTTTGTAACATTTATGCAAATTATTTTGGTGTCTATGTTCATCACAATCGGCTATTATATATTGTGTTATATGTGACTTATGTAAATAAATATTAATGTATTTCATAATTGAGTCATTATTCACATAAATCTGATTTGTGCTCTTAAAGGATTTTGTTTGGCTAAAAGTTAAATACAAATTATTAAGCCAGTTATATTATTTTCATGATTTATTGTTCTATTTGGAAGCACCTTTAGCTGACTAAGTTAATTGTCCAGGTATTTCCTGCCATTACATTGCCAGCTAGACCCTCCCCACTTCTTCCATGTTCCCTCTTAGTTATTCATGTAGATGGGGCTTCGATAAGTCATTGACTTCTTACACTTCAAATACTAAAAGAAGATCCTCTGTACTGCAATTAAATGAAGTACAATTGTGCTGGATTCGACTTCTCTATCTTACTGAAGAATTAAGCCGCCCCTGGATGGTGGAGAGTCAGCACATGACCATGTGCTCCAGGAAGACTGGGTCTAAGGAGGGGTGGTAATGCATAATGCAACATTTGAAACAGAAAAGATGTTACATTTCAGTTCTTCTCATTTCTATGATTCATACGCAGCTATAAATGCCATCAAACTCAGAGAGCATACAGAATCCAAACAAAATTTTTACATTTTGTCACAAAGTCCATTGAGAATATGTAGTTGATATTTTTTTATTTTGTTACCTTTAAATATTTTAAGGAAACATTTGGCCACTTAAATATTTCTCCAGTCCTATCATGTCCCACCAAATCGTAGCCTACCGCCAGCTTAACCTCTTGGCGCCAGCCGAACGCAAATGTCGTGCGGCCTCCCAGTGTCTGGGCCTAGATACCGAGTAGCCGCACATTAGCGTTCTATTAAAAAAAACATATGTGCTGAGAGCGCACGCACTGCGCACTCCCAGCGCAAATGTTCGGTACTCACGGAAAGGTCCCGATCTCCTCTTTTGATCACATGACCCTAAAACCCTGCCCCCGCCTCCCAGCTTCTGGAACCCTTAAAGGGCCGGGAGGTGCCAGTGCCAAAGGGGTTAATCTTCCAAGAGATCCCATCATTTGGAATCATTTTTTGTGTATCATCATGTGTAGAGCTTTTTAATTTGTTACTTTTGAGTATTTTGAGGAAACATTTTGGCCAATTAAATATTTCTCCAGTCCTATCGTGCTTCACCAGATTATAGCCTGCCTCCAGCTTAATCTCCCAAGAGATCCAATAATTTGGAATACATTTGTGTATCATCATGTGTAGCGCTCGATACATCTGTAGTATCAAAAACAGCAGACAATAATGCGGTGTTCCACCTGGGGTCATGCCTTTCCGTGATCATAATTGACTGGTACAGCCGTTACAACACACACAATGTGATAATAATCATCAGATCATGGGAATTGATAAGGTCGTATAGGAAGCATGTAAAGAAGCAAATTGCAAACAGTCCACACAACTGCACCTATTAGACATGAGTGCGTGATCCTGGTAACCTGCTTTACCATTCTTAGACACTACTAATGAACAGTACGTTAAAAAAAAAAAAATCAATAAAATGTTATATATATATATATATATATATATATATATATATATATCTCCACATTTATTGTTCTGTATATCAAATATTAAAACTTTAAATGCCCAAAATTAAATTGCTACATTTAAAAATAAATAAATATATAAATAATAAACTAATAAAAAATAAATAATAAACATAAATACATTCACTGGTCATATATATATATATATATATATATATATATATATATATATATATATATATATATATATATATATATAATGTGTGTGTGTGTGTATATATATACAGTTGCAAGAAAAAGTATGTGAACCCCTTGGGATTACGTGGAGTTTTGCATGAATTGGGCATAAAATGTGCTCTGAACGTCATCTAAGTCACAACAATAGAAGAACACAGTCTGCTGAACATAATGCTACACAAACATTAGATGTTGCCATGGTTTAATTGCACATAGCATGTAAACATTCACAGTGCAGGGAGGAAAAAGTATGTGAGGCCCTAGCTTAATGACTTCTT